AGAAAGAAAATCACAATTAGAATTTCTTTTGGATTTCAGTACAGTTGACTTGAGCAAAATAAATAGACGAGAGTAAGATGAATTCAACCCTAACTGCTCTAATTCCTCTATGCAATATATTAAGGTTTTCAAGACTATAATTGCTAAAAATACCCCTTTTAACAAATTAATTGCATAATAGTCCTTGTTATGTTTCTGTGGAAGGTGCTACAATTTCTAGAGCAATTAGTTTTAACTGGAATTCTGATTTAGAGAAGCTTTCAGGATCAGTGTCTTATTCTAATAATCTCACAAATTACATATAACTATGTGTTATGGATACAAATACTTACTGACCAGTGATGAAACTGAAAAAATTTCACAAAGAAATGTCTTTCAAATTATTGTAGCAGATCAGTGTCTTAGCTGCTATGAATCGGTAGTAATTAGTAATTTGATCACTGTTACTGTTGGTCTCTCCTTAAATTTTTAGTTTATCCTTCTAATAACATAAAAATGCTTGGGGAATTTTCCACCTTAATTTATGTAAACTGGGTTTTTCTCAATTGTTAGGTCAAAGCAATGCTGGTGACGCAATTGTTTTTACTTCAAATAGATTCACGTACAATGGACCTTCATATGGACTAAATTTTAATGCTTGCAAAGTTAGAGTTGTTTGCAAAATATGAAAAATGGCTTATTTGGAGAATATTTTTAAAAATTTTGAAGCTCTAAAGTCACATAGCAGGGAATAATAAACACATTTCCAGGTGAGAGGCACATAAAATATCTTTCCCAGGCTGCTATATACAAATGGAAAGGCCTGTAAGGATGTGGGAAAACCTTTATGTAGGTTCATGCTTCCTTTACTATGGAAGCTTGAGGAGATAACTTTTGCAATTTGGAATTAACATTCCTCATGCAATTATGCTTCCAGCAAAATAGGCCCAGGTTGGGGGGAAAAACAGTTCAAACTAGTAAATAATTGCAGTATCACTGTATCAGTTTAGTTTAAAGAGCTGACAAACCCTCTCTAAACTCCAAGCACAATTAGTCATTAGGGTCTAGTTTTTCAGAACTGTTAAGCAATTTGTAATCCATTCCTTTTAATAGGGTTAGGCATTACTTAACCGACACAGATGCCTTGAAAACTGAAACCTCAAGTTATGAGGCAGCAACCTTGTTCATTACCTTCTGTGATAGGCAAATCATCTATTAAAAACAGCATTTAATGGGCAATCAATGAATAATCAATGGCTCACTTTTCATCTGAGTGTGAAAATGAAAATAACCCAATACAAAATCCCGCTGGTGACAGGCCGAATCTTGGGTTCTGCTGCTCTTCAGGGCTGATTTATAAGGTCTTGGAAAGCTGATGTAAACAGATGATCAATGGGACCCATCCCTGCTAATAATAACCCCCAACTGGCCCACTCCCTCTTTTTCAAGTCCATCCCTTCAGGCTATTAGTTCTGTCCAGCTAATTCTTCCCACTACTCCTGCCTGCTGCTTTTACTCTGGCCATCCGTTCAGTCCAGCCGACTCAGAAGTAATTTTATACGCAGCAGAGAGCGGGTGGAATTGATTTTTCACTCAGCGCTCTGTTCCCATCTGAATAATTATCAATTTTACTGCCTCATAAAGGGAAGAGTCAAAATTTCAAATCAATTCAAAAGAGCTTTTGAGACGACAGAAACTGTGCATAAGAATAGAGGTCAAAGTTGTCAGTGACCTAAGGAGATGATGTCAGATATTACTATACCTAATAGCTGACATCAGAGGCACTCAAGATGATATAACCTAGTACTAATGCAAATCATATTTATGCTGACTACCAGAGCCCCGTCATTAATATTTAAAATGCTATCTGAAAGCCTACATTCCAAATAAATAGAATGTATTCCACTGTTAATAAAGATATATCACTACTTACTCATATGCTATAAAGTGAAGGATTACCAAGTATTATTAACACACAGAAATTACTTAAACCAACAAATGCATGCTAATTCTGAGTAAAGACAAACTTGATTTGTCTCCTGCTCAACCACATTACTTGCTTTGCAAAATCTGATATGGTATTTTGTCTAGGGCCATAGTCTATTGATTTTTGCTAAAATTTTCTACCAACTTAAAAGTTTCTGTCAAAGTTTATGGGAGAATACTGTGATTATGGCTGAGCGCTGGTAGGAGTGATTTGGTGGCAGACTTGTCCCTTGCCATGGTGGGGTAAAGGCTGGGTCTGATTCCTGGCCAATCCATGAATATATATATATATATATTTTTGGTGGGGACATGCTCTAAGTCAGTGATCCTCAACCTTCTCCACGTAAACACATGAGGGCTGTGATACACTCCCACCAGTACCAGTGGCTACTGCATTTGGGTGGGGTGGGGAGGGAGGAGAGACGCACTGACATTTTGATAGCATGTATATTTTGAAAAGCCACTCCAGGTGAAGCAGAGCTATTATCCTCACCTTGAGTATCAATTGTGTGAGTAATAAGGACTTGGGCTTTTGAGTCAAACAGACCTTGCTTCAAATTCCAGCTCTACCACTTTCCAGCTGATCTCTCTGTACCTCAGTTTATTCATCTGTAAAATGGGGATGCTGATACTCACTTTTCGGGGTTGTTGTGGGGTCTAAATGAGGAGACTTCTCCGACAATACTCCCTCCCCTTATATTTCACTTTCTTTGTCATCACTATATTAATTAAATTATCAAATAACTGGTGAGTTGTCTCTTTGTCCCATGGCAAGAAATTTTGTAAGGAGATAAATTATGTCTTATGAATCTTAATAGCTCTTGCACCTGACACATAATAAATTCTCACTAAATGTGAGATACCTTCCTTTTTCCTTTACATTACCAACATGTTGTAACAGTTCCAGGGTCACACCAAATAATTATAGGTCTACAGCCCTTTGCCTAGTTACACAAAATATGAATGACACCCATTATCCCTGGAAAATAACTGGTTAACTGAAACATCACCACAAATAAAGCTTACATAATTTCATTTAAATATTAGCAAAAAATGACAGCCAGGAAGGAACCCTATTTCACAGCTGTCTCATTCTATTTTCATCATTTACTGATATAGAGTGACATTTTTTCTTTTTCTTTGAGATGGATGCTCGCTCTGTCGCCAGGCTGGAGTGCAGTAGTGTGATCTCGCTCACTACAACCTCTGCTTCCCAGGTTCAAGCAATTCTCCTGCCTCAGCCTCCCACATAGCTGGGAATACAGGCACACACCACCATGCCCAGCTAATTTTTGTATTTTTAGTAGAGACAGGGTTTTACCATATTGGCCAGGCTGGTCTCGAACTCCTGACCTCATGATCCACCTGCCTTGGCCTCCCAAAGTGCTGATATTACAGGCGTGAGCCACTGCACCCGGCCGCCATTTTCTGATGATTGCAGGCAACTTATTTGCTCCCTAACGGTCATACAGCAACACACTATTGACGTGTTTACATTTGCAAATTACAAACTATTATGGATGTAATTTGGCAAAAGAAAACAACTGAAAACAGGATGAAGATACTTTCCAAATTTAGTGGAATTAGAAAATATAGTGATGGGGCTAGGTGCAGTGGCTCACACCTGTAATCCCAGCACCTTGGGAGGCTGAGGTGGGACGACTGTTTGTGCTCAGGAGTTCAAAACTAGCCTGGCAACGTGGCAAAACCCCTTCTCTACAAAAAAAAAAAAAAAAAAAAAAAAAAGAAAGAAAGGAAAATATAGTGATGGCATAGCCATAAAAAATGGTATTGTTCTTTTTGAAATATTTTTGGCATGTACATTTAAAAAAATTTTTTTTTTTTTTTTTTTTTTTTTTGAGATGGAGTCTCGCTCTCTCGCCAGGCTGGAGTGCAGTGGCGTGATCTCAGCTCACTGCAACCTCTGCCTCCCGGGTTCAAGCGATTGTTCTGCCTCAGCCTCCCGACTAGCTGGGACTACAGGTGTGTGCCACCACGCCTGGCTAATTTTTGTATTTTTAGTAGAGATGGGGTTTCACCATATCAGTCAGGCAGGTCTTGAACTCCTGAACTCATGATCTGCCTGCGTTGGCCTCCCAAAGTGCTGGGATTACAGGTGTGACCACCGTGCCCAGCCTAAATCTTCTTATTTAGAGATGGGGTCTTGCTATGTTGCCCAGGCTGGTCTTGAACTTCTGGGCTCAAGCAATCCTCCTGCCTCTGCCTCTGGAGCAGCTGGTACTACAGGTACTGTACCTTGCAATATCCATTTCTTATGCATGCCATTACTGTTATTTGCACAAGCGAGTTTTTTAAAATGGTATTAAACTTGGACCTAACCCATTAGCTAGTTAGAAAATACATTAGAAAATAAACAAATTGTGGCTTTATTACTTATTAGTTAGGTGTTATTGAACATATTACCTAACCTATCTGAACCAAGATTTCTCATTTTAAAATGGAAAAAATAACAACTATGATACGATGAATGAAATTCCTAGCAAGCTGCCTGGCATACACCAGGAGTCCAGCAAATTGCAGTTTCCCAATATACCGGAGTATTCATAAGGCAAACTTAAGATGACATTATCAGAGACACCAGGAGAGAAATCAGGGGCTGACTGTTTCCAGTTCCAGTTTTGTCTAATTTTTCTCAGGCCTCTGGAAAAACTATCCTCTTTTTGAATTCTTGCTCCACTGAGGTGAGATGAACGACCCAGGTATTTCTTGAGGGTAGGTAATCCTAAGGCCTGTGTTTTTTCCCCACTTTCAGGGAAAATACTCCCAGACTATATATATACACACACAGACACATACATATGTATGTATTTATATATGTATGTATTTATATTATTATATATATACATATATGTACACACACACATATATACACACACACATATACATATATATATATATATTTTTAACCAGTGTAAAAAGTCTTGGCAAGACCGGCTGCTCTAAGATAAATTCAGGGCCAGGTATGGCTTCTGGGAACATCTGTTTCATAAGCTAGGTGATCAACCACCAGTTACCTGCTGCAGGACATCTGGGTTTTGCTGCATAAAACGTAATAGTCTCTGACCAGCCTGGGTAGTGTCTCCGCATCGAAGTGGCTTCTTGCCCTCTTTTGCTATGTGCTTGAAGAGGTAGGTGACGATGTAGTCTAAACTGGTACAGCAGCTGGAGGAGACAACTGTATCTGTACAAATAGTAAATAAGAATTCATTTGCATTACTTAAGTTTTTGCTCCATTTGATTATACAGTGGCTCCATTAAAAATAATTACTTTCTGATTTCAAAGTGTTTTTATCAAATTGCAAGTTCTTTGAGGGCAGGAATTTGTTTGTTTTTTTGAGACAGAGTTTCATTATTGTCACCCAGGCTAGAGTGCAATGGCGTGATCTCGGCTCACTGCAACCTCAGCCTTCTGGGTTTAAGCGATTCTCCTGCTTCAGCCTCCTGAGTAGCTGAGATTATAGGTGCACGCCAGCACACCCGGCTAATTTTTGTATTTCTAGTAGAGATGGGGTTTCTCCATGTTGGCCAGACTGATCTCGAACTCCTGACCTCAGGTGATTCACCCACCTCGGCCTCCCAAAGTGCTGGGATTACAGGCGGAGCCACCGTACCCGGCCAGGAATTTGTTTTATATAACTCTTTGAACCTAGTGTCTATTATAGGGTCTGTCCTAGAGACACATAAATGAATGATTCCTGGATTGATTAGGCAGATTTTCCCATCTGTGACCTTAACAACCTCTTTACAGTTCAAGTGACTGTTTATTAAGTATCTACTTAGTGCAAAGTGTAAGTATCTACTTAGTGCAAAGTGCTCTGTTTTACGGGAAACAGTGGTCTAACCTCATTCTGGTGTCAAAGAACTCACGGTTTAGTGTGCAAGTCACTGTAGCATAATGCTGTATAAAAATGACAAATTGAGGATTTTGAGGGAGAGATCACATTTAGATGGGGATCAAGGAGAGTTTGGTGAAGGAGGCAGCACCTGATATGGGTTTCAAAAGATTATTCCAATTAGACATAAGGAAGGATACTTTTCAGGTAGAGGGATTAGCACAAGGCAACAATGTGGTGGGAAAGATAGGGATTTTGGAACCAGATAGTTCTGGTTTCAAGTCCCATCTTTGCCAATTACTTGCTGTGTTGCTGATCTGAAAGAGCTACTTCACTTTTTTTCACCATTTATAAAAGACCTTGCAGAGTTGAATGAGAAGAAAATGACAAGAAGTTCATTAGTAATAAAAACAGCTGACATTTATTAAGAGCTTACTATGAGTTACTGTGTTAACTGCTTTACATAAGTTATTATTTTTAATACTCACACAGCACTATAATAGTTACTGTTGTTATCTCCATTTACAGATGAGGACACTGAATTTTAGGGAGCTTAGGTGACTTGTCCATTGTCACACAGCTAGAAGACTGCACAGCCAAGGTATGAAAATAAACAAGAAGTTGGACTCTGGATCTGTACTCTTTCTGAAAATTTTTTTTTTTTTTTTTTTTTTGAGAGGGAGTCTGAGTCTGGCTCTGTGGCCCAGGCTGGAGTGCAGTGGCCGGATCTCAGCTCACTGCAAGCTCCGCCTCCCGGGTTTACGCCATTCTCCTGCCTCAGCCTCCCGAGTAGCTGGGACTACAGGCGCCAGCCACCTCGCCCGGCTAGTTTTTTTGTATTTTTTAGTAGAGACGGGGTTTCACCATGTTAGCCAGGCTGGTCTCGATCTCCTGACCTCGTGATCCGCCCGTCTCGACCTCCCAAAGTGCTGGGATTACAGGCTTGAGCCACCGCGCCCGGCCTCTTTCTGAAAATTTTATTGTATTTTTTATTTTTTTGTTTCAATAATTTTTGGGGAATAGGTGGTTTTTGGTTACATGAATAAGTTCCTTAGTGGTAGTTTCTGAGATTCTGGTGTACCCATCACCCAAGCAGTGTACACTCTACCTATTGTGTAGTCTTTTATCCTTCACCCCACCTACCTTCCTTCTACCTGAGTCCCCAAAGTCCACTGTATCATTCTCATGCCTTTGCATCCTCATAGCTTAGCTCCCACTTATCAATGGGAACATACGACATTTGTTTTTTCTGGATCTGTATTCTTAACCACTACATTAAAACCAGGTAATAAGCAAAAATATATGTAAGCACCAAACACCTTTTTGTTGTTGTTGAGATAGGTTCTGACTCTGTCGCCAAGGCTAGAGTGCAGTGGTGTGATCTTGGCTCACTGCAGCCTTGACCTCCTGAGCTCAACTGATCCTCCCACCTCAGCCTCCCAAGTAGCTGGGACTGTAGGTGTGCACTACTATGCCTGGCTACTTTTTGTATTTTTTGTAGAAGTAGGGTTTTGCATGTTGCTCAGGCTGGCCTTGAACTCCTGGGCTCAAGCGATCTGCTAGCCTCAGCCTCCCAAACTGCTGGGATTATAGACATGTGCTACCAGGCCCAGGCTAGAACGCCTTCTTAAATCACAATGGGCGCTCAAAGCATGGCAGTAACTACTGGTTTGCCTCATGGTAAAAAGAGAAGGGTATATTCAAGAAGTAGAACTTTTGATTTCAGAGAGAGAATGTGTAGAGGATATGTAAGAGAAGGCTGACAGAGCAGGTGGAGGATCTTACTTGAGGGCATCCAATAGCGGAGTGTAACATTTATATTTAATATGAAAGGTTAATGGAGGTGTTATTGACAAGTAAGTGACATGACAGAGCAACCATTTATTATCTCCTTTGTACACTAAAATTATTAACTCATTGACTTGTAACAACTACTTTGTATAGTAAGTATAATTTGCATTTTAAATGAGAAAACTGAAGCTTAGAGATTAAGCTGCTTATCAGAAGTCCATGGTTTTGAATCAGCATGACACCCACATTTTTTGGCTAACGACAACATTTGCACATGATCCCTGGGAGTTTATGATTAGTAAGAGAAACAGTTAACAAGAGCAACAATTAAAATGGTGATCAGGTAGACTCAGAAGAGGAGAAGTAGACTAAGAGAGTAGGGTTGGGAAGCAGATTATACACTTCCTAAGGGAGTAGTTTCTCACTCATTCATCTCTGAGGTTCTGAGACATATGTATGTCTGACATAGATTACAGGTGAAATATCAGCAGAATTAATTAAAGAATGCGTAGCTAAAGGTAACCTCAGAAAGTTTTCTTAGAAGAAGGTCTTGAGTTGTGTTTAGTAATAATACCCAGCATTGATAAAACACTACAGTTTAAAAGCTCACATTTATCATTTTAGAGAGAAATGTCATGAAAAATAGAAAGAGGGAAGTTTTGGGGCAAGTTTTGAAGTACAGTCATATGCATTTAACACAGAGGAAAATGGTAGCTAATACAGGATCATGAGGGATGAGGAGTTGAATGGAGGTCTAAAAGACAGCCGTGGACTATAGTTCTGGAAAACTGTGGAATTACAAAGCTTTTAAGAAAGGAGTTTTTCCAAAGGTTGGTTAATGGATACAAAAGTATAGCCAGATAAGAGGATTAAGTTGTAGTGTTCTGTAGCACTAATAAGGTGACTATAATGAACAACTGGTTATATATTTTCAAGTAGCTAAAAGAGCAGATTTTGAATGTTCCCAACACAAAGAAATGATAAATGTTTGCAGTGATGGATACCCTAAATGGTCATTACACAGCGTATACCTATATCAAATATCACATGGTACTCCATAAATATATGAAATTATCATGTGTCAATTAAAAATAATAAAAGCCAAAAATAGAGTTTCCCTCCTAAAGACATGGCATTTGATTAATCAAATAACTGATTAATTAATTAGTTAATTTATTCTTCATCTCTCCATATTAACTGGGTTACTTTGCAGAAAAGGGAGCTTTGGTTTTACAACTCTGGGATGTAGCATAATATAAGTGGAAAATGTCTGGGTCTAAAAGTCAAACACAGACTTGTTGAGCCTGGTTGCTTTTCTCTTTTCCTTCATATTTCTACATTTCAAGTACCAATCATGAAAGTACATGGATTAAGTAACTCTACATCTACAAAGATAAGCAGGAAGCAGATATGGTTCCCCTCACCAGTGAAGAGCAATATGCTATCAATCATATAAAAATTATAAAGACTTCACATAGATTTGGTGACCACATGCCATGCAGGTTGCATTAAAAGGTTCCAATCTACTGAGTCAGCTGTGAAAAAGCCAGGTAAACACTTTAGACACGAAGATTGCAGCATATATCCTTGCAATAAAAGCAAGAAGAGCTTCCATTATGGTTGATTTATGGTTGAGGACTTTGAAAAAGATAAATGTTATTTCAGGGTAGATTTTAAAGTGTGGAATCATAAGGATCACAGGGCATTTGGTCAAAAACAGAATGAATGGTGCTGAAGACTATGTATAACTATTGGTTTTCTTTATTTGCAGCTCAAGATACTATGTGAGATTCAAATAATGATACTTTCCAGACTAAAAACATAGCCAGAAGTCATGAATTTTCATATTTTGTCCTAGTTCTTGGTGTTCAAAATATTTTAAAAGGGATTACATCTGTAATTTTGGAAATAATTTTTAAGCCTAATAGGCATTTTGTCCTCTCTAGCAACTTGTTGTTTGGCACTGAAAACAATCAAGTGCTCTTCTTCTCCTGGAACCAGTCTCAACAGGAAGCACATGCATCATTAATAGCCTACTGCTCACTAAGACCCATCATTGAAAGCTGTGCTGAAAAGTTAACTGTATAGGAAAGAATTGCTTAACTGAGAGTCAGGAAGAATGAGGCTGAGCTGAAATCTGCCTTCAGCTCAAAACTTGTCACTACAACACAAAGATGAATGAAGGTCTTAGAAAAATATAGTCTGAAGGGCAATTTCAGAGACAAAAGGCCTATTTGCGTGGGGCAGTGGTTTTGGAAATAGGTGAGTATAGATTTGAATCTATTATTTCCTAGATGTTTGACTTCTTGAGCTTCAGGTGCGCCTCTGTAAAATGAGATTAATATTACCTGCTTTGTAAGGTTTGGCATTAAGTGTGCAAAAACTGTAACACAGCACCCAACACATAGAAGGTTTTCCCTTCCCATTTGTTTTCCTGGCTACTTCAATCCCTAAACACCAAAGCTCTCTTCTCTCTTTAGGTGTTTTGTCCTTTTTTTTTTTTTTTTTTGGGTGGCGGGTGAAACTAATGTGTAAAATCTCTAAGTTCTAAATATTT